GTAACCTTTCTTGTTCTCATAATTCCTGTTTTTTCCTCTCATGTCAAAGTCCATTCTTTATGATTTTCTATATTCCACTTACAAGAATTATTCTCCTGTCCCTTTCCTACATCCTTGCTCTGCAAACTAAAATCTTTTAACTGTGACTTGTGGTATTCCTTGGCTCGTGAGTGCCAGAGTTCCTGTTCATCCCATCCAAGCCTTCAAAATGCTTACAGGTGCGCGCACGTACACACACACACACACACACACACACACACACACACACACACACACACACACACACATATATATATATATATATATATAATATATGTATATTTTAATTCCCACTGGTGCTGGTGAGATGGCTCAGCAGATGAAAGTGCTTGCTGCCAAGACTGCTTGGTCCTAGGGAGAAACATGGTGGCTCACAACCATCTGTAATGAGATCTTCTGGCTTGCAGGAATGCATGCAGGCAGAAAACTATGTAACTAATAAACAAATCTTTTTAAAAAAGAAAAAACATGTAATCAGGTCATTAAAAAGAAAAGAAGTACGGGTTTATTTAAGTTATAAGAGCTAGTTAGAAGGCTGGACATTGGTGGCACACACCTTTAGTCCCAGCACTTGGGAGGCAGAGGCAGGTGGTTCTCTGTGAGTTCGAGGCCAGCCTGGTCTACAGCGCTAGTTCCAGGACAGGCTCCAAAGCTACAGAGAAACCTTGTCTCCAAAAATTAAAAAAAAAAAAAAAAAAAAAAGGGTGGGGGAGAGCCTAAGCTGGGAGGTGGTGGCTCACCACCCTTGGGAGGCAGAGGTAGTCAGGTCTCCATGGCCAGCCTGGTCTACAGAGCTAGTTCTGGGACAGCTAGGGCCGATACTCAGAGAAGCCCTGTCTGGAAAAAAACAAAGAAACAAAAAACAACAGCAACAACAAAAACCTAAGCTGAGGCTGAGCTTCCATAATTAATAATAGTTCTCTGTGTCACTTTTTGTGAGCTGGCGGTCCCAGTGAGAAAGTCTGTCTACAAGTTGTACCAGCTGGGGACTGAGCATGTGTGAGGCTATGGAAGTCTTATGCAGGAAGTGGAATCCTTGAGGCCACAGCACAAACCCTTTCATCCTTTAGCTGCTCTTGGTCGTGGTTTTCATCGCAGAAATAGAAAAACAAACTAGAGCGTTGCATAGGGAACTAAGGAACCGAATGACATCCTGTTATTCAACATTCTCAAATAATTCATCCAAATGACCAGTCCCACATATCGGCACAGTGAATGATTTTCAGCACCATGCACCAAGTGTGCCTGTGTGGCAGGTGACCTCGGTCTGCCCCATGGAACCATGGGACACTGCAGACCTGACAGCACGCCATGACCAAGGTTAGCTCATAAAAGACACTGGTTTCTACCTTGGCTTGTCTTGACTCACTCTGGAGACAGCCAACTTCTGTCATATCATAGGCTTACTCAAACCGTCCACCCCGCAAGGACGCCAGGCCTGCATAAACTTGCTCTCAGCTGAATACTCTGTCTTGGACCTTCAGGTGACTTTAGGCTCCTGAGAGACCCCGAGTTAGAAGCCACCTAAGAAGGCCACTCCCAAATTCAATGTTTGACTCAGAAACTGTAAGATCATAGGTCTTAATGGTTGTTTGAAGCCTAATGGTTTAATAACCACGGAGTTGTTGTATGACAAAAGAGACCCAGTGCTAACGGGCGGTGGGCAGAGCCGGGATAGTTTTAAAGCCTAAGAAGGAAGCATTCTTTCCACCTTTGAATCTGCTCTCACCCAAGAATCTTGTTTTGACTAGGGAATCATTACAAACGAACTACCAAAGCAGAGGGTTAAGAAGCACCTATGTCTGGCCAGGTGTGGTGACATGTCCCTGGAACTCCAAGACTTAGAAGGTGGAGGTCAGAGGCCAACCTGTGTTATCTAATGAGACCATTTCTCTAAACAAAACAAACACCAGCCAAACAACAAAACAGACCAATAAGAGGGAGGAGTGCTTGCTACCAAACAAGATGACTGAGTTAGATTCCCCAGGATCTATATAATGGAAAGAGAACAGATTCTGGCAAGTTGTCCTCCATAGTAGCACACACACACACACACACACACACACACACAAAGACACACACAAAGACACATACAATTTAAAAAGTAAGAAATGTGCTTGTGATACTGGGAATGTGTTGACTGTCATGTATCTAAGCACCTCTGCTGGCACCATGGCCCCCCATTATCTCAGATGTGTGACTACTGAAGTATTCCCAGACCTTTAGCTCATGGGGAAGTGGCCCAGGAAAGAGCCACAGAGCTAATCACAGACCAGATAGATGTCTGTTCAAAGCTACAATTTTGCTGAGTTTCCTTGCCTGTAGCTAATTGATTCAACACAATGACTTCTGTGTATCTGGCCTTTCTCTCCTCTAGAGTGTTCTAGGAGGATGTGTTTCAGGATTACTACCAGATGAGTTCAAAGCCTGGCCACTTCCTTTCAGGCTCTGTTTTCGTCATCTTCAAATTGGAGATTAACTTAAGTGATAGCCTCTTTCCCTTAAAGTTCAGGGAGCTGGCCCAGTGGATACAGTGTTTGCCACACACAGCTAGGATCTTAGTAAGGATCCCAAACACCCATGTAAAAGCAGGGTGTGGGGGCATGTGTCTGTGCCCCCAGTGCTGGGGTAGGGGAGAGTCAGCGTTCTCCAGGGAGTCACTGGGCAGCCTGTCTAGCCGAAACAGCTTCAAGTTCACTGAGAGACCCTGACTTAAAAGAAAAAAGAAAAACTTGAGTGCTGGAGACTTGCTGCTCTTCTAGAGGGTCCACTTGCAATCCCCAGCACCCACTTCCAGCAGCTCACAGCTACCTGGAACTCCAGCTCCAGGGGTCTGTTGCTTTCCCCTTCCTGTGCAGGCGCCTGCACTCATGTGCACATACATACCCACACATCCACACCCATATACACAAAGAAATTTTTTAAAAAAATCTTTCAAAAACATGGAGCATGATAGAGGCAGACACACCAACAGTCAACTTCTGTCCCCATATCCACACACATTGGTAAGTGCATCTGCACACACACATACATACACAGCTATGCACACTCACACACACACAAAACTGCCCACAGAAATACTGCTACATAATGTACTGTGTTGTGAAAGTGGGAATAATTCATGATTTTAAGCTATTCTGAAACAGTGGAGCCTACCCAGTTCACAAATATTTCTGAACAAATAGATGTTGGGGCTGTTCTTTACCAACTTAGTTTGGGCACTCCTGAGTCAGCTGTGAAGGGGAAGGAATCTCCAGAAGATTCTCTTTCTCAGCACCTCTGGGTTTTCTCCCTCTCTGGATGAGGGGGGGAAGAAGAAAATGCTCTACTTTAGAGACAAAATCATTTCACCTGGAAAGTGTGATGACTTTCAGTCCTTTTGATGTCAGTCCCCAATATCAAAGCCATTCCATGTGAGCACTTGATTCAAAATGGAAACATAAAGGTCCTTGAAATAGCATATGGGAAAGCAACCGGATGATCAGGGGGTTAAGTTGCTTGCCCTGATCTCGTTTTTAGTAAGTAGTGGCATTTGGATTTGATGATAGTTGCTAACAATTGAATTCTTAGCTTGGGACAGACATTCATTGCACTGAGTTGTCTGTTCTGGTTTGGTTTTGGGACAGGGTCTGTTATGTGCCCAGGATGAGCTTGAATGTGAGATCCTCCAGCATCAGCCTCTCCAACGCTGGATTTTCATGAGAACTACCACACCTGTGTGTTGAGTGCTTCTTTTTTTTTGGGGGGGGGTTCAAGACAAGATTTCTCTGTGTAGTCCTGACTGTCCTGAAACTCAAATCTGTAGACCAGGCTGGCCTTGAACCTGAGGTCTGCCTGCCTCTGCCTCCTTTGTGAATGCTGGGATAAAAGGCATGTGCCACCACCGCCCTGCATGTTGAGTTTTTGAGTCATATTCTTCCACCTACTATTTATTCACTGTGACTACTAAACAGATACTATCATGCCACAGATAGATAAGGAAACAGTTTCAGAATAGGAAAAAAACAGCTTTTTTTCTAGTGTCACATCCCCAGTGGCAGACCCAGCATTTGCACTTCAGGTCTGGTGGTGGTTATAGCCTGCAATCAAGAAAGTAGCTATAGGCTATGGAGATGACTCAGTGGCTAAGAGTGCTTGCTGTCAAAGCACAGGTCCAGAGTTCAAATCCTCAGCAGTCACATAAAAAGCTGAGCATGGCCCCAGGTATGCAGCCACCCTACCTTTGGAGTGTGGAGCCCAGAAGTTCACTGACCAGTTAGCCTAGTCTACTAAATGGTGAGTTTCAGTTTCAGTGACTGCATCAAAAAAAAGTAAGATGATCCACGCCTTTAATCCCAACATCCAGGAAGCAGAGGCAAATGGCTAACTCTGAGTTTCTGGCCAGCCTGATCTACACAGTAAACTAGATAGTAAGACATTGTTTATTAGAAAAAGGGGAAAAGAAAAAGAATCTAACACCAGCCATGGTGGTGATTGCCTGTAATCCCTGAATTTGAGACTCGAGGCAGAGGATCAAGAGTTAAAGGTCGCCCTCAGCTATATAGATCACCTGAGGCAAGCCTGGGTTACATGAGAATCTATCTGTAAAAAATGGAAGGAAAAGAGGAAGACAGAAGAGAGAGGAGGGGGAAGGGGGTAGAAAGGAGATAGATAGAGGGGCAGAGGGGAGCGAGGAGGCAGACTTTGCTGTCCTATCCGCCCCGCTTTATCCACCACTCCCGAGAAAGATAGCCGTTAGGGAAGAAAGCGCACGCTTTGACCCGAGAGAGGAGGATTCGCGTCCCTGCCACGCGGTCCTCTAGGACGCCGTGGCGTCTCCAGCCCTTCAGTTTTCACGCCTGAAAAGTAACGCTTAAGCCCATCGCTAGCGTCAAGCTCGGTTGGAGCAGGTCCGAGCTCGATCTCACCCGGCCCCGCCCTCTGGCCCCCATGCGCATGCGCCGCACAGGGGCGCCTTTTACGACGCTTCAGTCGCTGCGCTCGGCGGCGGGCGCGGAGCGGAGCAAGCGCCGGTAGAGCGGCGGCTCCCGGGAGTCGCAGGCGGGCGGGCGAGCGGGCGGCGTCGCCATGTCGCACGGGCACAGCCACGGCGGGGGCGGCTGTCGCTGCGCCGCCGAACGCGAGGAGCCGCCCGAGCAGCGCGGCCTGGCCTACGGGCTGTACCTGCGCATCGACCTGGAGCGGCTGCAGTGCCTCAACGAGAGCCGCGAGGGCAGCGGCCGCGGCGTCTTCAAGCCGTGGGAGGAGCGGACCGACCGCTCCAAGGTGGGCGGCCTGGGCGGGCCCGGAGCCGCGGGGCCTCCGAGGGTAGACAGGCAGGGAAACCGAAGCCCAAGGGAGCAAGGCTTGTGAGGGAGAAGAGCGGAGAGGACTGCTGTCTCCGGATGGCTGCCCGACGGCATCACCTGTTTCCAACCTAAAGCTCAGGCTCCTTTGAAGACTCCCCAGAAGGATACGCGTCCTCACCGGTCTTTGAATTCGCAGCCCGAAACCCTCCCCCCCATTAGAACCCCTCCAGTTTAAGAGGGTCTGTGGTGTTTAGAACACTGACTGAGACTCATTATATAGCCTCAAGCTATTGGGACCCTGGGGTGGTGGTGCAGGTCTGTTTGCATGTACGTCAGTTTGTAGAACAGGGAGGCAAGATGCCTGAAATTGTAGGCTCTTATCCGGTATTTGTTGCTTTCTCTCCCCTCACCCACCCCCAGTTTGTGGAAAGTGATGCAGATGAAGAGCTTCTGTTTAATATTCCGTAAGTATCTCCTTGGTATTGGCCTCAGGTGAAGTAGGCTGTTCCCATTTGTCTCTGCAGGTGGCTTCATTCATTCATTGGCTATGTCAAGGGTGCACATCTGTTTGCAGAAATGGGGTAGATTACTCTGGTGGGTTTGAGAAAGAAAGGATCATAGGTGTGTGTGTGTGTGTGTGTTTAGAAATGATGTCTTTGTTGAATTACTAATTGAGAAACTGAGGTAAATTTCTTGTGGAGTGACTACAAGAGACAGATAAGTAATTGGGCAAGGGTCTTGCTCAGGGTCACACAGCTTGCTGGGATTCGATCCCAGGCAGACAACCTTCTTCTCGTTTGCATTCTGGCAGATTTACCGGTAATGTCAAGCTCAAAGGCATCATCATAATGGGAGAGGACGATGACTCACACCCCTCTGAGATGAGACTGTGAGTAGCAAGGGCTCAGGCCCACTTGGAACTCCCACTTGTCTTTTTCTGCTAACATCCTTTTCAAGGGATAGGGAGGTGGCTCAGTGGGTAAGGATGCTTGCTGCCCGAGCATGAGACTCAGAATTCAGATCCCGACACCCAAACAGAGAACTGGTGTAGGCCCCTGTGCTGTGGGGGGGTGGGGATAGCTGGATTCTAGGGCTTGAAGGTGGTCAGCCTAGCTCCAAGTTCAAAGAGAAACCTGCTTCAAGGGAACAGGTGAAGAGTGGCAGAGAAGGACACCTGATGTCCACCTCCTGTGTATACCACACCCAAATAGGTGGGTCAGGCTGGGTGTGGTAATGCACACTTGTAATCCCAGCACTCAGGAGGCTGAGGCAGGAGGATTATTGTAAATTCAATGCATGTATTGCTTCCTGAATTAATTACATATAGTAATACATTATTTAAGTAATACATATGAATAAAAATATAAGCTTTGCTTTTTGTTTGTTTTTGCTTTGCTTTATTTTATTTGTTTGTTTTTGCTTTGCTTTATTTTTGAGACAAGGTCTCATGTAGTCCAGGCTGGTCTTCAGCTTCATATCCCTTCCTCCATCTTCCAAATTACAGGTGTGTGCCCCCGTGCCCAGATGACCATTTATTTTTGATGCAGGTTCTCATTGTGTAGCCCTGGCTGGCCAGGAACTCACAGAGCTCTGTCTCTCTCTGCCTTCTGAGGGCCACCCTGCCCAACTGACTCTTGTGTGTTTTGTGGTTTGGTGATGGACTACTGGGCCTTGTGAGTGCTTGGTACTTGCTCTACCACTGAGGTTCATCCCCAGCCCAGTGGCTATCTTAGATTAAGTATCCTTAGAGGCAGCTGTTTATCTCTTTTCCAAGTGCTGATTGTGGCAACATTCATTCATTCAGTGTAAAACAAATGCCAGTTATTGATGACTTTGCAGTTTCCTTAATAACCTAGCTGCAGATTCCTGAATGTTCTTCTTTATGACTGTTGGAGTTGTTGCATACAGTAACCATCTTTACACTGTTGTGCTGACATGAAGTCGGCTCCATCCGCATCTGGCCTCATAGCAAAATTCAATGTAGCTTTTGCAACATCAGATCTGTTGTTGCCCTCTCTTCTGGAGAGCTTTGTTTGTTTGTTTGTTTTTTATGGTGTTGCCTTCTTGAATGAAGAGGAATGTGTTTTGTCATGCTGTGGAGACATAGAAAAATTTCAAGACAGGGCTAGGAACATACCTCAATCAGCAAACTGCTTGCCTAGCAATCACAAGAATAGGATGTGCTTGTACTCCCAGTGCTGAGAGACCAGGGGATCCCTGGGGCTCATTGGCCAGCCAGCCTCACCTAATTGGTGAGCTTCTAGCCTATAAAACCCTGTCTCAAAGAAGGTTGAAGGTATTCCCAAGAATCACACCCAAGGTTGTCCTCTTAACTGCTATGCATACACACACACACACACACACACACACCCAAGCTTCTAACCAATAAGACCCTGTCTCAAAAAAGGTTGAAGGTATTCCCAAGAATCACACCCCAAGGTTGCCCTCTTAACTGCTACATAGGCACACACACATTAAAAGGGTGGAGAGATGGCTTCGTGGTTAAGTATAATGGCTAGTTTTCCGAGACTCATGTTCAATTCCCAGCACCCACATGGTGGCTCACAGCCATTTCTTAACTTCTTTTCCCGGGATCTCACACCCTCTTCTGTCTTCTGAGGATACCAGATGCACAAATGAGGTGCACAGACATACACACAAGGCCTCATATGTGAAATAATAAAAAGGAATGATCACAGAGAGATGGCTCAGTGGTTAAGAGCACTTAAATGTTCTTACAAAGGACCAGGATTTGATTTCCAGATTTACATCAGGTGACTCACAGCTGCCTGTAACTCCAGTTTCAGGAATCCAACTCCCTCCTTGGGTGTCCCTGGCCACCTGTATGCATGTGATATGTACACATAAACTCTTATAGGCACACACACACCACACACACACACACACACACACACACACACACACACACACACACACACATATATGAATGGTAAATAAACCTTCCTCGTGCTGGATTGCCTTCTCCAGCCTGAATGGCGGTGTGTGTGTGTGTGTGTGCATTCATGTACTTGATATTCCATGCTTTGCTGATGCCATGGGACAGCAAGCTTGCCCCTTTCTGATTGAATATAGAGGAGGGGTGGGGGGGAGGAGTGGGAAGGGATAAGGGAGGGGAGACTACAGTAGGGATATAAAATAAGTAATAAAGAAAATAAATGTTAAGGAAAAATTTCAGCTAGGCATAGCATGGCGTGCCTATAACCCTAGCACTTGGAAGGCTAAGATAGGATTGCTGAGAATTTGAGGGCAGTTGGAGCTATAGTGAGCTCCTGGCCAGTTTATGCTACCATGTGACACCCCTTACAAGAAAACAAGCATTTTCAAAAGTTTTAAGATAATAAAAAAATTTAATTTGGGAGTAAGGTTGTAGCTCAGTGATAGAGGACTAAGCATGTGTGAGGTCCCAAGTGCAGTCCCTACCACACTTGGGGAGGCCTAGAGTTCCATTCCCAGTAACTACGTTGGATGGCTCACAATCATCAGACACTCTTCTGGCCTCCTTGGGTACACATATCTGTGTGGCATTCACTCACACAGATTCACACATTAATAAAACAAATCTTTAAAAGTTTATCTCTGTGTTGAATCATTTTAAGAAAACTGGCTGTTTGATCTGGTACTTTGGTTACTGGCTTCAGTCAAGCAGGTATCTCACTGTAGCTCTCTGGTTAAGAGTGTGTGGTCTGTGAGCAAAGTGAGGTAATTTTCACACTGTTCATTGTTATGCTTTGTGTATATGTATGCCTGAGTATGTAAATACACATGTGCACCACATTTGTGTACTTGCCTGTAGAGGTCAGAAGAGTGTCCTGGATCCTTTGGAACTGGAGTTACAGGGGGTTGTGAGCCATCATATGGGTGCTGGGAACCAAACTGCTCTTAATCTCTAGCCCCATGGATTTTTATTTATTTACTTTTCTGAGTCATGGTCTTTCTACATAACCCTGACTGTCCTGGCACTCACTCTGTATAGCAGGCTGGCTTAGAACTCACAGAGATCCGCCTGCCTCTGCCTCCCTAGTGCTGAGATTAAAGGCATGCGCCACCAATGCCTGGCTCATTGTTTTGTTTTTTGAGAGGAGGCCTCACATAGTACAAACTGGCCTCTAACTCACTATGTAGCTGAGGCTGACCTTAAACTCCTGATCCTCCTGTTTCTGATTTCCAGGTGTGTACTACCATACCAGGATCTTATTCAAGCTCATGGCAATCTTCCTGTGTCAGCCTTCCACATGCTGGCATTGGGTGGCTATGCCTGGTAATCCCTTGTTAACCATGTTTGTCCTACTGTACTATAGGATACTGGGAGGTATTACTTCTACCTGGCTGCATGCTGTACTAGTAGACCATTCTTTGTGCTCACACCCCCTCTCAGGCTCCGGTAATTACTTTACTCTTGTTTCCATGAGGTCAGCCTGTCTTGCTTCATTCTGTGCTTGTCATTCTGTGCTTAGCTTATTTCACCTAACCTCTAAGCTTGTCTACATTGCATCAAATGACAGATATTCTTTTTATAACTGAATAGCATCCCATAGTGTGCCTACATCATATTTTCTCTATTCATTCATCTGTTGATGGGACTGAGGTTGTCTTTGTCTTGGCCATTGTGAAGAGTGCCATAATAGACAGCAGGTGGCAGTAGGGTGCAGGTGTCTCTCACTCTTGCCTTTGGGTATTTTCTCAGTAAGAGAATTGTTAAATTGTATGGCATTTCTATTTCCTGGGGGGTTTTTTTTGTTTTGTTTTTAAGAATTTTCTATAGTTGGGGTTGGAGAGATGAGTCAGTGGTTAAGAGCACTGGCTGCTTTTCCAGAGGACCTGTGTTCAATTCCCAGCACCCACATGGCAGCTCACAACCATCTATAACTCCAGCTGCAGGGAATCTGTCCTCCCACAGAAATACATACAGGCAAAACACCAATGCACATAAAAATAAATCATTGAAAAAAGAATTTTTCATAATCACACCCCTAGTTTACATCCCTGTATACAGTGTCTGCCCCTTTCTCTGCTTCCTTGCCAGTATTTATTTCTTGTCTTTTTGGTAGTAGCCACTGTGAGGGTAAGATGATAGATAGCCCATGGTTTAGATTTACATTTCCTTGGTTAGTGACTCTGAATATTTTTTCATATTCTTGTGGCTTCTTGAATAGTTTCATTTTGGGGTTTTGAGACAGAATCTTACTACATAACCCAGACTGATCTCAAACTCAGGATCTTCCTGGTTCTGCCTCCCAAGTGCTGGAAGCGTGTGCCATTGCAGTCAGCTTGTGTATCTTTTGAGAAATGTCTTTTCAGTTCCTTTGTTCTTTAATCAGATTAGCTGCTCTTCTGTGGTTGAGTTGAGTTCTGTGTGTGTTTTGGACATTATCTACCCCTTTTGGAGTAGCTTGCACATACTTTTGTCCTTTTGTAGGTTGGAACGTGGACTTTTAACTACAGTGCTACGCTGCCTCATGATGCTGCTCGTGAATACGCACTGTTATTATCCTGCTGTGGATTATTCTTGGAAACACTTTGAAGCAAACACTTGCTTCTGAAATGACACACATTCTGCTACAGTGAAATTATAGCCCCTCCTTTGTGGGTGTGTTAATATAATACCTGGAGGGACGTTCAGCTGAGTGCTTCAGAATTTGTTAGGTGTTTTTGTTTTTAAATATTTTCTTTACTGTCAGTTTAACTTTCCAAGGCCTTTTATAAGTCTGTGATCTTTTGTATACTCTTTTTTGAAGTAGAAACCCCCAATTGTATTTTAAGAAATATTGCTTGGTATGGTGGCTTTTAAATCTTAGCACCTGGGAGGCAAAGACAGGCGGATCTCTGTGAGTTAAGAACTAGCCTATCTACCTAGCAAGTTCCAGGACAGCCAGGGCTATATAACAGGGAGACACTGTCTCAAAAAAAGAAAAGAAATATAATATGGTGTTCGGGTGATTTTTGGACATGAAATCCACTTGAGTGTTGAGCCACCTGATCTTATCTCTTAACTGTGTTTAATGTTTTTGCTGAAGCGTGCATTTTCCCATGAGTAAGCTGTTTTACTTCACATTTCAGTGTGGGCTGAATGTGCTGAATTGACTGTTTGTCATGCATCCCTGCATGTGACCCAGCTGAGCGCTGTCTGCATAGCTTCTTGGGATCTCGAATCTCTTGAAGATGCCACTAGATTGTGCTGTGGTTCCTGGCTGTTTTCATTTCTTTCCCTCCCTCCTTTCCTTTCTCTTCTTCCTTTCAAGGTGGGGTCTTGCTATTTGCCTCAGTGGCCCCAGATGAACTTTGCTCAAGTAGTCCTCTTGCTTTTGTCTTCTGGTAGCCAGGGCTGCAGGCTTGCACTGCCCCTATCAGCTTTGTTGTTGGCCTAGGGATGTTTGTATGTAAATGCCAGCAAAGTGCCACTTTGAACCTAACTTTTGATCTCCTTCTGATGGAACTGAGGCTAGTTGAGCAGTCCGTAGAGAGTTATAAAACACATATTAATGCATATTCCTTTACTTTTCTCCCCTTTCCCCACCTCAGGTACAAGAACATCCCACAGATGTCCTTTGATGACACAGAAAGGGAACCTGATCAGACCTTCAGTCTGAACCGAGATATTACAGGAGAATTAGAGTATGCTACAAAGTAAGCATGGGACCTGTCCTCCACTCTCTGTGTCTTTTCTTCCTTTCATTTTGGAGAAGGGTCTTGATATAAAGCTCACACTGGCCTTGAACTCAGTCCTCCTGTGTGTCTCTCTTTCCAGAGTACCTGCTGCCTTGCCCTGGCCTGCCCATGGCTTCTGCTTTGCTCGCAGTGAATTTGCTGCCTGTGAGCTTCCCTTTCTTTGGCCAGTATCCTGCTCTCCGAGCACTGGAATAGAGTTACAGCGGAGGAAGCTTGGTCCTTGGCATGGCCAGCTTTTGGCACAGTTCAGGGCAGATCACAGACTTGTTAACTTGGAAGTGCTGGGCAGTTCCAGCTGAGTAGCTAGTATCGCTTAGCAAAAGTGTTTGCAGAATTCCTCTGCAAAAATGGGCTTATGGCAGACTGTTACCTGTGCTCACCTGGTCTCTTCTTTGATGCTCTCCTTCTGAGGATGAAGTTAACATGATAAACATGGCTTAGAACCTTATTTGGTCCTTTCTTTTTCTTTTCTTTCCTTTCTTTCTTCCTTCCTTCCTTCTTTTCTTTCTTTCTTTCTTTCTTTCTTTCTTTCTTTCTTTCTTTCTTTCTTTCTTTTTGTGAGACAGTCTTGCCATATATCCCTGGATCCCTGGCTGGGCTAGAATTAACTTGCAGACCAGACTGATTTTAAACAGGTAATACTCCTGCCTCTGCCTTCTGGGTATGGTGATGGCATATGCCACTATGCCTGGTGTGTTTTTATTCATTTTTCTGTCCTTCTTGCCTTAGACAAGATCTGGAAAGTAAGTGTTCACAGCATGAATTGCTGCTTGAAGGAAACTAGAGTGAAGGACCAGGAGTCCTCTGATACTTGCCTGCAAGTTGGGGCTGAATTGTTGTCTTCCCTGATGGGGCGATGCATACCACGTGGTAAACTGTGTCTTCTCTCCCTCTTCCTTTTCTATCCTCTAGAATTTCCAGGTTTTCAAATGTCTATCATCTCTCTATTCATATTTCAAAAAACTTTGGAGCAGATACCACGAAGATCTTCTATATTGGCCTGAGAGGAGAGTGGACTGAGGTAAGAGGATTAATAAATGTGTGTCTGCGCCCCATGGGGCAGGAGCTCTAAAGAAAAGATCAAGTGAGGTGTTGGTTGTTCCATCTGTTTATAGTTTTTCTTTCTTTTTTGTTTGCTGTTTTGAGACAGGCTCTCACTATATAGCCCTAGCTGGCCTAGAACTTATTATGTAGACCAGACTTGCCTGGGTCTCACGGAGATCCATCTGCCTCTGCCTCTTGAGTGCCTGGCTTCTTAATTTTTCTTGATTTCATCATAATAATTTTTGTCATTGGATAGATGCAAGTTTTTTTTTTTATTTTTCTAATTGATATATTTTGTTTTCTGATTATATGGATATAGGTATGTGTGTGCTGTAGTATGTGTAGCTCACAGGACAACTTGTGGGAGTCATTTATCCCCTTCCACCATACTGGTTTCAAGTGTAGAACTTAGGCACTTGCTGGCCCCATATAGGTATTAAGGGAATTTCTTTTTCCTTTTTCCTTTTTTTCTTTTTTGGTTTTTCAAGACAGGATTTTTCTGTATTGCTTTGGAGCCTGTCCTAGAACTCGCTCTGTAGACCAGGCTGGCCTCAAACTCACAGAGATCCACCTGCCTCTGCCTCCTGAGTGCTGGTATTAAAGGTGTGGGCCACCAATGCCCAGCTATTAAGGGAATTTCTGTCAGTGCATGAGTATTTTGATACAGGGTGTGGGTGTAGCTCAGTGACAGCTTAGCATACAGGAGGCCATGGGTTGTACCCGTCACACTTTGTGACAGTTTCTTGTTCTGGGCATCAGAGATAAGTTCCTTAAACAAGTTCCTGTTCTCACCTGGATTTTCTTGGCTGCTGAGAATCCTTGGTAGTAGATCGTGGTCTTTGGTGGCTTCTCACTATTAAAGTGTCAGCACAGGGAGTTTCAGAGAGGACATGTGGCAGGGAGCCTGACTGAGCATTGCTGTATTTATAGTTTGTGCTCTTGGAAAGGAGGATTCCTCAGTGGCCACTGACCTCACCTTTACCTTTGCTTGTAGCTTCGTCGGCATGAGGTGACCATCTGCAATTATGAAGCATCAGCTAACCCAGCAGACCACCGGGTGCATCAGGTCACCCCACAGACACACTTCATTTCTTAAGGGCTGCCCGGCTCCCTCAGATGCACTGTGAGTGAAGATGTACAACCACCTGCTGGGAAGGACTGAGGAGGCTCCAGCAAGAGTTGCCTGCTGCAGCCTCGGCCAGGCTCTGTCTTGGGGTTGCTGCAGGAACCTGGCCTGTGGAAACTGCCTCACCACCAGGAGCGGTGTAGGTGCCAAGGGACAGTTGTTCTCTAAGGCACTGCAGAAATGGGCTTAGGCTGAGTGGCATCTGGAAGTCATGAATAACATTTGCTTTTCCAGTCAGTGTGGCCATGGGATCCCAAGTGTCTTGTTGCTTGTGGCAGGTTTTTTGTGTGATTTGTCCTTTTTTAAAAAGGGAAGCTTCCTCGGCTGCAGGAATCCTCCTGAAACCCGAGTTTTGTGTTTGTGTTAGCTATCAGGAAGATCTTCAACTAGAAACACATGTCCCTGCTTGCTCCTCCTCCCTGTCATTGCTCAGCATTTGTGTCAGGGTGCCCAGCTGGTGTCATATGTCACACACAAGTGTCCCGTGAAGGTGGTTGGAAAGGAAGGAGTCTCCTGGTAAATGACTGCTTGGGGGAGGTCTCTTCTCACTGTCTAGCCAAGCAGGTGGGAGAACATGGAGTTGTTTTTCTGTGTCAGGGACCTGGTTGGGGTAAAATTGGGATTTACTAGAGATTACCCCCGGGACCTCCTTGGTGTTTACTTGCTTCAAACTTGTGTTGTAAACTCAGTGCTGGAATCTGGAGACCATGGTTCTTCTGTTCATGGCTTTTATTCACTGTGACTAATGAGCTTCCTAATAAATTCTTGTCAGACTTAAGTTCATCTTTTCTTCTGTGCTCCTGGTACTGTGTAGCTTATAAGTGGATAAAACACTCATACACATAAAATCATTTTAAACACAGGAGAGTCTGGAGGTGTCGAACAAAGTGAGGACATGACTAGTGACAACAGTTAGTACCTGATGAGAATACAAGTGCCACAAATCATTGGGACCCCCTTTTGTTTTCATTGAGTAAGAGTTGGTAAGGGAATGAGTGCTGAATCTGGTCTTGGAGAATTCCAGGGTGGCCCATCCTAGTCAAGGAGAATATGCAGTTCTTGCCACTGAAAGCCTTTTTGGGAACCAAAGTTCTGAAGTAAACCAGAATGCAAACATAGTTCTCTCAGTACACGAAGGCTATTACTCCGCCACAGCCTGCTTTGTGTGGGACATTGGGTGAGGGTGTAGTTCAGTGGTAGAGTACCTGCCTAGCATATGCAGAGCCATGGGTTTGGTTCCTAGCACCAAGATAAAGACTTAATATTTAAAATTTTTCGATTAAGGGGATGTAAAGTTAAAAACCTCAAAACAGCCATGCTGATGGCTCAGTGGTAAGAGTGCTTGCTACTCAAGTCTGATAATCTTAGTTGGGATCCCCAGAACCCATATGAAAAGCCAGAGCCAATGCATAGCTCTGTAATTCCAGTGAAATAGGCAGAAATGACAGATTCTCAGGAAGTACTCAGGCCAGCTTGACTGGAGTATACAATAGCAAAACAGACTGCCTCAAACATAAGGTTTGCTGGGTATGGTGGCCCAAGCCTTTAGTTCCAGTCCTTGGGAAACAGAGGTAGGCACATCTTTGAGTTTAAGGCCTGTCTGGTTTACATAGCAAGTTCTGAGAACTGATGACTGAATGTGTTTTCTGACATGTGAACAAAGCCAGTATGTACATCATATACACCATCCAACCCTCAAAACACTAGCCCATTTGTTCCATGAATATCTGCTCACTCATAGCTCCTGGAACTAGACCTTTAGGTTTGAAGCATCACTTGGCAAAGTGCCACATGGCTCATGATGAATCTACAGGAGGAGCTGCATTTCACCCACAAACCTGCAGGCAGGAGGGCAGCTGTATTGTAATGTTTTCTTTTTCTTTTTTTTTTTTTTTTGGGTGGGGGGGATGTTTTGAGACAGGGTTTCTCTGTGTGCTCCTGGCTGTCCTGGAACTTGCTCTGTAGACCAGGCTGGCCTTGAATTCACAGAGATCCACTTGCCTCCTGAGTGCTGGGATTACAAGCCTGTGCCGCCACCATCCTGCTGTTTCCTTCTACTTTTATCCACATTTGTGACATCCACTTCCAGGTCTTTGGCTTGCTGTGTGGCCCCTCAATCCTTGTATTCCAAGTTGCATCTCCATGACCTGTTGACTTAAATTCAAGAACAAGCTGTTTCTTGGCCTGAAGGGAAGTGCTTTGTTGAGCTTCCAAGCTTGTATTGCTTTGGGTTCACAGAAAAACTAGTGTAGGTTAAACTGGGAGAATGAGTCCTCAGTTGCTGAGGGACCCCTGTGACTCATTTCCTGTTTTCAGATCCCTACTGGCTCTCTGAGATTCAGTCCTTCGGTTCAGCTTATCTCTCGGCCTGGACTCCAAGCCCAATTCCCACTTCACCAGTGTGACTCAGTGGTGATCAAATGGAGCCCTTTTGTTCTCAGCTCTCAGTTGGTGGCGTTTTGTGCAACCTGCAAGGCATCACGGACAAGGACAGTGTCAAGCCAACACTGCCGGTGCTCAGTACCCTGATACAGCCTACGTGCTTTCCCAGGGTCCTTCTTCAAGTGATTAAGGCCTCACACTGATTTTACAGTGTCCAAAGCAAGTTTACATGGCCTCATTGGAGCTTAACAGCAAAGTTATGAAATAGCAGGTGGTTATTATCATTTTATAGCTGAGAAAGCCGGTCAGGAAAGGCAGATTACAGTGTAATCTTGAGGTTGCTACTTATTTACTTCCTTTTCCCAAGGCTTAGTTTCCTCATCTTTAAAGATAAGCATGGAGGGCTATGTGATCTCAGGTCTTTTCAGGTCAGGGTGTATGGCTGCATCCATGATCCTGTGAAACTCAAATAGGGTTTAAAAACCAGTATGGAGGATGGAGAAGAAAGGTGAGCAAGGAGAAAGATCTAAAGTACATGAAGTGTTAGTTAAAAGCAATCACAAGTTTTGTGAGGGAAGCCAATCTCTGGGATATTAAAGTGTTCCACTAGAGTAACCATTATACTATATGTGTATGCAATACTGTGCGCTGGGGACATAAACAGTAAAAGTATCTTATTGAAATCTAACAGTGGTTAATAACCAAGACCACACCTGGAAATGTGCCCTGCCCTATGGCGATGGGAAGACGGCCAACTTTATGCTAAAGAATACTGTGATGGAACGCCTCTCCTCCAGGACGCAGGTCGACCAGGTGGGCTTGGCTGGCAGGGCATCTGGAAATCCCATGGCATGTCCAGACGCTGCAGGTGGCAGCGTCTCATCACGGGAGTGGTCCCACTGTGGACAACATGGCAGCTCCTAGCCGGGAAACCTGGACCCGCTTCCGGGTTCCGTACCGCTGGCCGGGCTACTTCCGGCAGTGCTATGGCTGGGTTCCCGGGACTCGAACGGAAGTTCCGGCGGGGGCGGCCGAGGGGGGAAGAGTGAGTGTCTGTGCGGGAGAAAGGGGAGAATCGCCGAACGGTCTCGGAAGCCCCTGGGAGTGAGGTACCCAGCCATGCGTGCGGCGAGGCTGCGAGGGTCCCGGGGCGGCGGCAGGGAGCGGCTGGAGGGCGCTGTCCAGTCCTGGGACAGCCGGGCCAGGGGCTGCGCGCGTGGCGGGAGAGCGTCTGCGCGCTGGGCAGTGGGAGACCCCATTGTGGGGCGGAGGCTCCCCCGGGTCAGTGCCCCTTTGTGGACCGGTGCTAGCCCCGAGGCAGGGCAGCAGATGCCACTGTAGGGATGCGATGACCCGGGGTCAGAACCCAAGTTCCCACTGTGGCGAATGGGAGACGCCGGGTCATCCTTCGGAGAGTGGGAGCTGGGTGGAGGAGGAAGCTCCTAGAGCCGAGGAGAAAGAGGATCCTAGCTTAGGGAGGCAGGTGCATTCCCTGTGGGAAGAGGAATCTCAGGGTCAAGAGGTGTGGAAAGATGCTGTGTGATCTTCCCACCTTGAGGGGCAATCGGGGTCAGAGCTGGAAGGTGGGAACCTACAGGAGGGCGGGGCGCCCTTAAGAAGACACTTAGAAGCAGGTAGCGGAAGCTTCCGGAGTTTGGAGGATGCTAAGGATGGGGAGGGGCCAGCCAGCCTGATATTCTTTTGTGTTGGGAGTCCCAACACCTGTTCATTTGGAGACCCATTTGGAGTCAGTGGCTGCAGCAACAGCAGGTAGCCCCGTGGAGGTGGGAAGGCTTGGAACACCAGTTTGTGGTGGAAGATGGCAGAAGGGAGTTGTTAGGCTCTCATGGGACATGGGTGGCTTCTAGAGACCCTAGCAATTTCTTACTGAGCCAGAAACTGCTGTGAAGACTGGATAGGGGCTTGAGGGGAAGGAGAGGGAAGATGGAGAAGATGGGGAGGCAGGTGGAACTGAAAGCCTGTTTTCCTGGCATTTCCCCCCGCTTCATCTCTCTAGGGCCGGGATTCAGACAAGATGGGCTCCAGGGGTTCCAGGAAAGGGATACCTGGGACCTTGGGAGGAGATCGTTAGCACTCAGCAGTTTATGGGGGAAGGCTGCAGAAAACGCCCTGCCTTTCCTTGTCTCCTGCTTCCAACCTCTGTGCCAGCCCATCTGTACCACCTTTAGGCTCTGGGGTTGGGTTGGAATCAGGGATGTGAGTTCTGGACCATGAGGATAGATGCCCCTGCTTCTCAACTTTGGGATGGGGCCAACTTTCTTTCTTGTTCTTTCAAGACAGGGTTTCTCTGTCTAGCCTTGGCTGTCTTGGAACTCACTCTGTATAAACCAGGCTGGCCACGAACTCTTGAGTGCTGGTATTAAAGGCTTGTGCCACCACCACCACCTGGCAAGGGCTAACTTCCTACCCCTCTGCTCCAGACTTCTCTTTGCTCGTATTTTTCCCTTGGCTCAGAATCAAACTGTGGTGATGTGTAGAGCTGATGGCCTAGGTGGGCATCTGAAACCAGGAGGTTTCTCTGGCCTGACCTAGCACCTTCCCTTGCACAGGCCCAGCCTGCAGGAAGCCCTGCAGTGTATGTGTGGTAACACCATGTCTGTGCCCCTGCTCACCGACGCTGCCACCGTGTCTGGAGCTGAGCGGGAAACGGCTGCGGTAAGGACCCCTGGGCCAGACATGTGGGAGGCAACTGGCTGTAGGTAGTGTGGGAAACATGGAGGTGGCCGTATGAGAAGGGACTAACTAGCCTGAAGCTAATAATCTCTTGGCTGGGGGGCCAGCGGAGGGGTGAGCTGGAGTGGAAGGACCTAAAGAGGGACTTCCCGTGCCACTTTTGTCTTTTTTTTTCAGGTTATTTTTTTACATGGACTTGGAGACACAGGGTGAGTGAGCTGAGGGGTGGGATGCTCCTTCATCAGGTGGGGCTGGAAGGCCATTGTCCCTCTCAATCCTTCCTACACGCTGCCTCTTCTTCCCTCCCACAGGCACAGCTGGGCTGACGCCCTCTCCACCATCCGGCTTCCACATGTCAAGTACATCTGTCCCCATGCGTGAGTATCACCCCAGCTAGAGAGGGGTTGTGCCGGGAGTGGTCCTCTAGTCCTAGGCCTGGTTCTTTTCATCAGCTGCCTCCTGGGGCTTGGGCTTAAAGCTGTCAGGCCTTGTTCAGCCTTAACTCCCTAGAGCCCTAAAAATGGGCTCCAGTTCCTGCCTTCACTCCCCAGGCTTCCTAGACCCAAGACCCCCTAAAAAGAACTGTACCCCCAGTACTCACCCTCTGAGTTGGACCCCTTCACCGGGTGTTAGTCTCTGCTTCTCCATCCTCACCGCTGATGCCCCAATCCCAGCCTCCAGCCCCACGTGGCAGGTTGCCTG